GAAAGCATTAAAAGCTAATTTCATTCTTGGAACATACACTACAATAATGGGCTATGATAATAGGTTACCATAAAACAATTACTGAAAACCACAGCACATTGGGAACTAGTCTTATCTAAAATATATAAGGTATTCCATCCAATAATAAGGTGGAAAAGAGAATATGAAATTTGTTATTTAAACAGAAAATTAGCTGGATGAAAATAGCAGCAACTCAACCAATATGTTTATACTCTATATACTGCAGGGATACTATAACTATAGAATTTAACCTTACAGAAGAGCCTGTATTATTTTCTTGAGTATAGAATATGCATTTTAGTCTTGACTTTACTCTCCATATGAAAGGGGAAATTCTACTCTAATAAAAAAAAGGAATGAAAAGTATAAATAAACATTTTTCTGGTCTTTTAAATTTCTTATTGAAAATAAAATGAGCTGAAATACAAAAGTAATAATCAAATAAATATTAATTTATCATCCACCATTCCCAAGAAAACATTCTTTAGTTTTCCAGTAAGGTAACTCATTCTTCGTATGTCACATACATTTATGTGTAAGAAATGAGATGAGCATTTATGAAAATTTAACAATGAAGAATAAAACTAACACTGTGAGAGGAATTACATTTTAAGTTTCTGTGTGTACACAGAGGCATAGAGATACTCTTTTATCATAGCTGCACCTATGTGGTTCTCCAGCATATTTGGGATATAAATTACATGTGTCTACTTGAGTTAATAGCTTCAGGGAGCTAGAACTCTTTGATGGTATTTTATGTTAAATAAATGGCCAGAACAGAAAGTGGTGTGTTTGGACATACAAGATACGGTGATTATAAAGCATTTAAAATACCATCTGACAAAGTGCTGTCATCTTACACCAAGTAATGATGACAACTTACATAGTGCTCAGTTTTACGAAGGCCCATGGTTAGTGGCATGAAAACTTGAGGGAGGAAAAACAAAGAGAAGAAAAAAAGACAAACACTTTGCCTTCTTTTAATAAAATGGTCAAAGTAATAATTAAGTGGAATAAATTAAAGGGTGTTTTTTCTATTAAAAATATGATAAAAATGTTAATTAATATAGCATGTTTTACCTGAAAATTCAAAATACTGAGCAAGGGAATTACTAATCTCACCAAATTCAGAACCATGCCTCACACAGAGAGAAAATTTTACAGATGGGAAATAAAGAAGGAGCAGAAGATCACAACAGAAGATCACAACACTCACATATGGCATAGCTAAAAACTGAATACATGACTACTCACTACAATTTATATAATTTTCTGATAACACTTAAGACTATTAAAATAGGTTTTTATTAATTTTCTTCTTTTTCATAAGTAAACGGTACACATATATTCTCATCCAATTTCTATTACAAAAGCTAAGCTAGTTTGAATTTTCTAAAAAGTCGGAAAAAGTTTGGAATCTGGTAAGGCCAAATATTTTGGATTTCTATGTTTTAAAATAACAGAAAAGTATTAGTATTTTCTATTTCATTCTATATTGCATCTACGACTATGGTGAAAATCAACTTCTTTCTTGAGGAGCAATTTTAGGGAATATATACAAGGCTTTAATACATGAACATTTTAACACTAACCATCATATACATCTCATCTTAGGAACAATATATGCAGTTTAAATGAAAGTAGGCTTGCAAGAGAGATGGGTTACACTAACAGAGTTTTCTGAAACCTAAAAATCTTTCCCACTTTTGAGGTCTCTTTTCCTAGGAGAGTGGGAGACTAATTCCCTTATGTTACACTTTTTTTTTAATGGCCCTATTCAGGGCTGGAAGAGTAAGCATAGATGTCACAATGAATTTTTAAAAGTAGAAGAAAATAGAAAATTAGCAATTGAAGTCCACTGATACTTTTCTAGTAATACGATTTATATGAATCCTGTCTAGACTAAGATTGTTAGAAAAATACTATTGGAAAATGATTCTGCCTGCCCAAATCAGCTTTTTACCTTAAGACCTTAGAAACAAAGAGTTTTTGAGCTGTAAGAGATCTCAGAGAGTAGATCCTTAGCCCATCCTTTTATTTTACACATGAGAAATCTGAAGCCCAAAAAGGTTAAGTGACTTGCACAAGTGCCTGAAGGTAGATGGTCTCCAGCCAAGCCCAGAAAACCAATTTACTGCAATAATACCCCATTAAATTGTAAACTGTTGTTGGATTAAATAAATCACCAAGGAAAAAGCAATATATATTGGCTACTAAACAGTTTGCAGCTTTTAAATTAATAAATTTTAATAGTCCCACATCAGTAGTTTGAAAGGACACTATTTGAATTGATGCTTTTCCCAAGGCCTGTTGAGATACGTTGATATGTTCCAAACATAATATACCACTGAGAAGCTTTATGTGTGCTTATGTCTCGAAATGAACCTTGTATCAGTGAGTAGTTATGAAAAATCCGATAGCAGTGCACACAAATGACTCAAGTAAAGAAACGGTTAACTGCAGCGCCCCACCTCCTCGTTGTAAATAATCAAGGAAAGCCTTTTTTTTTTTAAGCAATACAAAATGTCACCACAGGCTGACGCTCTTTCTACAAGAATAATGAGATTCTTGCTATCTCGCATGCTGAGCACACACTTCACTGCCTTTATCTCTGAATTCAGTTTTCGTGGTTCATATATATTCTTCCCCTCCCCTCGAAACAGGTAACATGGCATGCCTAAAATATACCAATGACTATGGAGCGACTGCAGCAAAACTGGAGGAGCAGTTTCACAAACTCGAATTTTGGTTCTGTAGTCCCGGGCACACAATATTAAAACTGCTCCGGAAATGAAGGGCGGCAGGCAGGGAAGTCAGTGAGCTGCTCCCGACGAAGCCAGCCATTGGCACCCACCGCACCGGACTCTGCTACGCAGAGGGCTCTGAAGGAGGCGCGCTTGCCGTCCAGGACTTGCTTTCTGAGAGTAGACACGTCTCCTTTAGTGTCATCATTCTTCCTTTTAAAACACACTGACATCTCACCGAGAATTTCGCGCCACCTCAGCCCGGTAATTCAGGGAAACCACGGACCTGAAGGTCTGCGGCATCCGACCCCGCGACCAGCGGTGGGCGGAGGCGGTGCAAGAGGGCTGCCGCTCGCCCAAAGCGCGCACCTCTGTGCCCGCTGCACACAGGAGCATGCGGCCGCGAAAGAATCGCAGAGGAGATCTGAAAGCGGAACTTCTCCCCTTTTAGCAGTTAAGTGTGTGGAAAGACCTGTCCTCTGACGTGGCCCAACTGAAAATACACTCCGGCGCCACCGCACGGAAAGGGCAACGGGGCGTGTGGTCAGGGGGTGAAGATGTAGGTGAGATTCCATTCTCAAAGTCGCGAGAGGGTTAACTGAAAACCAACTATGCGTGTGTGGATATTTGTATTTCACAAACCTACATCACCCTCATCCTCCTTTCTTGACTCTCCTCTAGGCTCCAGAGTGCCCTTTCTTCCTCTATGGGAGAGTGGGATCACGACGAAAAAGTGAGATCCGCACTGTGCCAGACCCAAGGGGGTCTCAGCTTCCCACCACCCCAGTGTTCTTACCCTACCCCACCTGTTTTAAATCCTGTCGAACTATGGTTTCACAGTCCCCGCCCCAGAGCATGAGATTTGTCACTGACGCCTTTTTCTCAGCGTCAGAAACAGCAGGTGAGCTCATTACCTCACCCAGAAATGGAACTTTAATAAAGAGATCTGGAGAGCGCACTCCACCCCAGCCCAACAGCGGCAGGAGCAGCTCACAAACACTTGTGATCTCTCCCTCAGGCTCCAGCTCCCAATCCCACTCCCCCCGCTTTCCTGGGAGCGATTCAAAGGCTTTCAAACCTCTCCCGAGGCCTCAGCTTGCTAACGACTGAAGGGATGTGCCAGAATAAAAGATGCGAAAAGGAAGTGAGTTTTTTCTTTGATAAAAGCTAAAGAAAAGGGTAAGAACAAATAGGCCAAAATAACAGGAAGTAGGAGTTTAACTGGCAACTGTCTATGAAGGGATAGAAATCAAAACTTCAAAGAAAAAAACATCCACAAAATCCTCAGTGCAGGCGAGGAAATGAACCTGCTGCTCTGTCAAGTGACTGTGAGCGCACGGAATGCCAGCTCACGGTCACTTGATCAGGACCAACTCGTGTCAGCTGCCTGGCGGGCCTGATGATACCAGGGCCAGAAGACGACCCCAGGGGTGTGGAAAGGGATTCCCCGTGAGATATTTTAGTAGTTGGAAATTTTGCCTTTTTTTTCTTCTAGGGCTCAGTACAGAACTGAGAACTAACGCTTCATGGCAAGTCCTAGAAATCCACAAGCCCATCACTAAGGTCTCACGGTTGGCTGCTAATTCCGGTTCAGGCTGTGTTACTTGTCTGCTACCCCTACACTCACCACCCACCCGGACAATGGACGGGGAGGAGGGGTTGGGGGAGTCAAAACCACAATATAAGCATTAGGAGGTATTTTAAAGGGGGCGATTAAAGTCCTTCCTTTCTCCTCTACCCCTCCCATCTCTTGCTCATCTCATACCAAGGGGAAGTTATAGGGGATTTATCATGAAAAAGTGCGGGCAGTACTTTCATCCGAGAACTAAGCGAAACGAAAACTGCTCGGGCGCAGTGCTGTGGACTTTGATATCAGAGACTGGAGGAATTGTCAGAGAGAGAGTCTGCCGCCTAGGTGGGAGCCACAGGGCCAAGGGGAGAGAGTCAAACGAATCCTGCCCACGGGCCCCTGCAGCTCCAACCACGCAGCACCCAAAGTTCCTGGAAATTAACCCAGTGCCCCTGCTCTCTGCCCGAACTTGAGCCCATCAGCCAAGCCCAGGCTTTTGGCACAGGTGACCGAGCCCGGGGCCAGCTCTGTGCCCGGACGGCTGTCCCCTTACCTCCCCGACGCGCCTGGGCGCACAGCCCCGAGCGTGTGATGCAAGGGACAGGGACCTAGGAAACTGCCCCAGACCCACGTCAGTCCCGGGCTGCTCCCAGGCCCTAGCTCACCTGGCCTGAGGACAGCGGCGGAGATCAAGAGGCAGAAGAGCAGACGGCAGGAGGGGGCCGTTTTGGATTCCATATTCCTCCTCCTTCTCGTGGTCCACTGACAAGAGTCCACGCCGCAGCAGGGGGCGTAGTCCTGCGCCCCGCGGTGCCCGCGCGCTGGCGGGTCCCGACGCAGGGGGCAGCGCCTTCTCCCAGACACACCGTCCCCTGGGCTGTGGCGCTGCACCTTCGGGTCTCTGCCGCACGCAACTTTACACCAGGCAATGTCCCCAACTCCTCTTCCCTCCCCCTCAACACCCACCCTCAGTCCCCTTGGCTGCTCCTCCGGGGACTGTAGACCCTCTTTCCAGGAGACACTTGAGTAATTCAGGAAGGTGTACGTGGCTCTTTTTGGCTGTTATCTTCTTTTATTTTCCTTGTCTTGAAATAATAATAATGGTAGTGGCAGTGTGCATTAAAAGCCCGGTGCTAGCAAGGAATCGCCAGGGGTGCGACAGGCGGGCGGCGGGTCTCCTCAGGTGGCAGCGGTAGTAGCAGCGATAGCGGCGGCAGCGGTCTCCGGGCTGCTCTGAGTGGAGGGACTGGAAGGCGTGTGTAGGCTGCCTCTTTCCTCCTCCCTCCCGCCTCCTCCCTCCCTCCAGTCTCCTCCCCGCTTCCCTGGACGCAGCGCTGAGCAGGTGGTTGCAGCGCGAATCCGCAGCCTAGAGGCGCTGCAGGACCGAGTCCGAGACTGAGCCCAGCTCCGTGATGGGGGAGAACGGCGCGCCCCGGCCCCGCGGCCCGGTGGGCGGGGCTTCACGGGAACTCCGCCCCCACGGCCACCCCGCCAATGAGGAGCGGACACTGGAGCTGCGCGCTCCTGGGTGGGCCCTCGGGACTCACGCCTCTCGTGATGTGTGAAGTGTGATGTGTGATGTTCCCAGCGCCCTCCTGATACGGCCTCTCACTTCCAGCTGCCCACCCAGCCACGCTGAGGTTCAGAAATCCAGTTTGCCCTCTTTTTGCCCCCGTACGCCCATCCCACTGGCTCATTCCTCGGGGAGTTTTCTCCACCGTGACGTTGCAGCCTCCCTGTCCTATACCGAGAGCAGTGGGGAGGGCGCTGGGGGTGCGGAGCGCACCTTGGGGCCCGAGGGCTGCAGCGAAGGCGGGTGGAAGGGGCAGGGGGCGGTGGCAAAGGTGGAAACCCGCCAACTGAGAGTTAACAGCGGCTGCTACTGGTTGGCTGGCCAGGAGCAACCCACCGTCTGGACTGATTCCTCCCTTACTTTTCGTACCCCCTACCCCCAGCTGACAGTCACCGTCTTCTTAAAGGCAGACAGCTTGAGTGGACCGCCCGATATCGAATACAAGATACTTGCTTTTCTTTGGGGAAATTAAATCAGGAATCTGTAGACCTTTCTTCGTCATACGGATTTTCCCAAAGTCTACAAATGCCAGAGCGCGTGTCCCTTTTTTATTTTGAATTAAGCGGCGGTTTTAAGTTACAAATGGAAAATCCTCAAGTTACTCAGATTAAAAGCCAAGCTTGTCCTGTTCTGTTCCAGAAAGCCACCCACCCCAGCAGGAGGATAGGCTTCTCCGGCAATTTCTAGAGATTGAACCACCTCCCAGGCGGAACACTGGGAAGCTGTGTCGCTTTCAGATCAGGCAGAGAACATGAAGGAATATTTTCCTTCAGAACACAGGGGTGGAGCTGTCGGAGCCCTAAGTGGCTCTAAATCAGGGATGCGGGATCGCAACTCTCATCCCCAGTGCATAATAAAATCTTGCTTCCTGAACCACTTGTCTGGGACATTAAATAGCCTTTCGTGCATGACAGGGTCACCCTAGCGTGAGACTGGTCTCCAGCAGAGAATTCCAACTAGTAACCATTACGTACTGCGCTTTCATCAGAAGGCTGCGCTAGGTGTCACCAGCTAGATTGGGGACTAGCTACACACACACACACACACACACACACACACACACACACACACAGACACTGATTTTTGAATTCTTTGTCTTTTCGTGCTATTAAGCTCCATCTTCAGCTGTGATTTTTCTCCAAAGCCTGCGTGTCTTGTTCTCCAGGTTCTCTTTACATTAACAGTATTCTGGAGTAGAGCTCTTATATTTTTTTCCTCTTAAAATAAGTGCTTTCTCCCGCTTAGTTTTAACATTAACATTTCATTTGCATCTTATGAATCAACAGGAAGGCGATTGCTAAGAGGCAAATGCCTTTTGACTCTATATTCCAAGAGCTAAGTTTGGCTGACCTGCTAGTATTTCCATGGGACCCTGTAGATTTCTTTCAGGGAATTTTCTTTTAACTGCACCTCAAAGTGGCATGTATTAGAACAAATCATCCCTGCAATATATTTAACCTGGATGCTTGGACTTTGTATCTGACCTCTTCTATTTTGGGGTGGGAGTTAATACAGCATAATTTTTTTAAAAAGTAGATTTGCAAAAGGCAGACTGTCTCATTTGGCTCTAATGCTATATGATCTTGGTCAACTCACTTAATCTCTATAAGCCTCAGTCTCCTTGTGAAAGTGATAACAATAGTGCTGGCCTCATGGGATTGCTGTGGGGATCAAATGAGATCACACAGATAACTGGCCAGATAGATACAG